AATTTCAAGGTTTTTTTAGAGGGTGTTGGGGTTTCCTGCTGTTTTTTCTAATTTGTTGGAGATACTGGGTTGGAGAGTCAATGGTCCTCTTTTCCTGCCTTTTGATGTGTTTGCTTATTGCTATAATTTGACCTTTGATTACTGCTTTGGCTGTTTCCCAGAGGTATTGTTAAGTGGTGTTTTTATTGTCATTTGTTTCAGGAAACTTTTAAATGTCATTATTTATTTCTTCCAGTACCCACTTATGTTCAAGCAGGGTGTTGTTCAACTTCCAAATATATGGTTTTCCCCCCTCCTTTATCCTCTTGTTATTAACTTCTAATTTTGTAGCATTGTGGTCTGAGAAAATGCTCTGTATTATTTCTATGTTTTTTAATTTATTGATGCTTGCCTTGTGACCTAAAATGCCTTCTATTCTGGAGAATGTTCTATGCACATTGGAGAAGGTATACTGTGGGTTTTTTGGTTGGGTTTTTTTTTGGGGGGGGTGCATTAGCCTATAAATATCTATGAGATCATGTTGGTTTATTGTGTTGTTTAATTCTTCAGCATCTTTGTTGAGTTTGTGTCTGGTAGTTCTATCTTTTCTTGAGATTGGTGTTTTGAAGTCTCCAACTACTATAGCGGTGTTATCTATTTCCTTTTTCAGTTTTGTTAATGTTTGTTTTATATATTTTGCAGCTCTATTATTTGGTGCATAATTATTTATTATTGTTATGTCCTCTTGTTCTACTGACCCTTTAAGCATATGTAGTGACCTTCCTTGTCCTTTGTGATAGTTTTTGCATTGCAACTTATTTTATCAGAGATTAATATTGCTACTCCTGCTTTGTTCTGGTTGCCATTTGCTTGGTATATTTTTTTTCCCACCCTTTTTAGTCTTTCTTTGTCTTCACTTTTTAGGTGTGTCTCTTGTAGATGGCTTATTGATGGATTTGAGTTGGTTGGGGGGTTTTTATATCCATTCTGTTGCTCTTTTTCTCTTCAGTGGTGCATTTAAACCATTCACGTTCAGTGTGATTTTTGAGAGGCATGGTTTGTGCTATCACTGTGGTGAGTTCTTTTTGGTGTTGTTGCTAGTTACTTTGGTTCATCCTGCTTTCTGTGGCACCTCTGTAAGAAGGACATCTCTCAGTGTTTCCTGTAGTGCTGGTCTTGTTTTTACAAACTTGCTTAGATTCTGTTTTTCTGGGAATATCTTGATCTCTCCTTCATATTTGATGGACAATTTTGCTGGGTACAATATTCTTGGTTGACACTTGTTTTGAGTGTTCGATATATGCCATTCTGCTGTCTTCTTGCTCCCATGGTTTTGCTGAGAAATCGGCACTTAATCTTATCTGTTCTCCCTTAAAAGCTGCTCTTTGTTTCTCCCTTGCTGCTTTCAGAATTCTCTCCTTATTTTTAGTTCTGGAAAATTTGACCATGATATGCCTTGGTGTTTTCCTTTTGGGGTTTATTCTATATGGTTTTTGCTCAGCTTCTTGAATATATATTCTTTCATTCTTCATTATGCCTAGGAAGTTTTCTTCTAGTAATTCTTCCACAATATTTTCAGTGCCTTTACTTGCTTTTTCCTTTCTGGGATCCCAATGATGCACATGTCATTTCTCTTGATGGTGTTCCACATTATTCTTAGGTTTTCCTGTTTTTCCTTCCTTACTGATTCTGCTTTTTGCTCTAGCAGATCATTGGTGACAATTCTAACTTCTCTTTCACTGATTCTGTGTCCCATTTCTTCAACTCTGTTCATTTGTCCCTTCATCATATTGACAGCATCTGAAACATTGGACTTCATATTTTGGATTGTGGTTTCTTGTTTTTCAAGAACCTCTAATGCCGCATTTGTTTTATTTGCATTGTTTTTGTTTTTTAAGCTCCTCCTGGGTTTTGCTTGCAGTGTCCTGTAATTCTTCAAGTTTGTCTTTCACCTGTTGAAAATATTCAATCATTGTTCTTTTAAATCTTGTGTCAGAAAGTTCCATCAGACATTCTTGCTTCAGGAAATCCATTGATACTGTGTCACTTTTTGGGGGGGATATCTTGCTTTGCATTTGTGTAGGGTGTAAGGTAACCTGCTTCTTACATGACATTGCTGTGGTAGAGTTTTTCATGCCTGAAGCAAAGATAGGTTCTTGATCTGAAGCCACTGTTACAGAAGAGGCAGGTATGCTGTCGGTGTCTCTCTCTAAGCTTATGAACCATGGAAGTTTCAGCTCAGGGCCTGTGAAAGTGTCCTCTTCTGTTAGATAATTGTTGCAGCTATATTAGACCAAGGCACTCCAGATTAAAGGCAATTAGTTGACTGGACGTGAGGAGATGCAAGGCTGAGTGCAGAGTGGGCACTGGTGTGGTAGGCATGTGCTCAGGCATACACTGGGTAGATATGCATGCAGACACTCGTTGGGTGGGTATATGGGGTGTGGGCACATGTGGGGACCTCACTCAGACTGCAGCTTTCGGCTCACTCCTGGTGGGCCTCACATTCTGGCAGGGCTCTGTAAAATGTTTTTTTAAAAAGTAATACTATATAAAGTTTTTAGAAACTAATTGTTGTTGTTGTTGATTGCCATTGAGCACAACTCATAATGATTCTATGAACAAAATACCTGAAGCCTTTCTATAACTATTGTCATTTCTCAAAGTTCATGGAGTTTCTAGGGGCATGCTGTTTAGGAAGTATGCATCAAATCTTCTCCCATTTTTTCATAGTTTTCTCCCTACCCTCATGTCAGTGCTTTTTTTTTTGTTTAACATTGTCATGGCTTTATTCAAAACACAGTTGCACAAAAGTATTAACTTCAAAGTTTTAAAAGGAGAGAGTCTTGAGGAACTTAACACTATATACATACTGTCATACAAAGAGCATTAAAATAGGACCAAAAACCTCTACAAAATATAAAACCCACCCTTACTTATTTGCATGAAAATACCACCCACAAAGCTAAA